TCTAATAACAATGCTAACTTCAGAAAAAATTATTGCACAAATCTCAAATTAGATTCACTACATGTATGTGTGAGTTCCTCTAGGATAAGAAACCCTATATTAAATATGCCATTGATGTTCTTCATTTCCAACCCTGGTTTACTTTCATTTATCTGCTTAATGTTCAGCATTTAGGGGAAAGGCAATAATTGGTTCACCCGTTGTCAGTATAATGTGACCGGGCAGAATGCTATGCTGGGTGCCTAAAGCTTCAGCATGGTATTTCAGTGAGATAGCACTATATATAAAGTCCGCAACAGATCCGTGCTATCACAAAACAAGGAGGCAAGAACACCAACATACCCTGTCTCCTGTATACACACACGCAAGCACACATACACTACACACCTGGAGGCATGTCCTCAAATGACCTTAGCTGTTGATAGGACGTTAAACAAAATTAAACCAAACCAAACATTTTATCTGAATGTATTGTAGCATGAACTGATGTGATCTGCTGATGTTGGAAACTGTTACACCAATATACACACTGGCCATATCAGCAGATGATCAGGGTACCCGCCTACATCTGTTCCCTGTGGGATTCAGGGCTTTATAAGTTAATTTTAAAACTCTGTAGCAACTTAATTTGATGTTTGGATTGTTTTTGAAGTTTAAAGAATTACACAGGTTTATCTGTGAATTAGAACATTAGAAAAAATAAGAAATGCCATATTTACATATAGAAATAAGATCTCTGGGTTTTGTGTTTTATCTTGTAATTTAAGTTTTAAACTGTAATAACAGCATCACATAAATGTTTGATATGTAAGATGTGTGATATCACCTATTATGACGTCACAAGTAACCAAACAATGGCGGTATGATTCCCATTAAGCACCAAGAACTCGGACATTTTTTCTGTAGAAGACAACAGCTATATGAATTTTTCCAAACAATTACCAGCAGACTAAAGCAATAAACAAAATCTGTGTATATAATAAGAAATGAAATTTCCATATTTGTGATCTTAATGACTTTAAAAAATTTCATTAAAATCAATTAACAATTTGAATGTTGGACACATTTTTGGACCAACAGTGTTAACACAGAGATTGCATAGAATTTCGTTTCTATAAAATGAGCTACATATGTGGTTCTCAAATTGCTGTTCATTATTTGTTGACCATTCAAACTTAGAAACCATCAGGCTATCAAAAACTGGACACAGTAATTATCCTTTGATGGTATTGCTATAGCGTGGATCTGACGCCGACCAGAGAGTGTTACCTCATTTAAATATTGAGCAGAAGGCAGGCACACAGTAGTCGGCTGACTTTGGGGGAAAGCACCACTGAACTATTTTGACAATAAAGAATCGGTCAGCGAGATTTGTTAGCATATATATACCTTATTATTTGCAAACAGAGTTTTCACAGAAAAATAAATCTCATCTCTCTAACGTGTATGGTAAATATGTTGTAAAAGGTTTTAATTTCATCACGTCGCCTTTTCCACATTGCGGCATCAGACTTTTCACAAAGGACCTGTTACAGGAACAAAAGAATTTTGCCCACAAAGCAATTTAACCATTACTGGGTTATATTTGTAGCTCCCTAAGACACGACCCATGAGATATTTTTAAAAAATGAAAAAGGTCCCCAGGGCCTGTGCTATGAACTATTTAGTGATGCCTTCCAAAGGTGTACGACAGGGTTCACTTTTTTGTCCAAAAAACTATCAAAACAATGTTTTACGCTATCAAATAATATTATATTATTTAAAGTAGGATCTGCTGCAAATTATGAACTCAAATATGTTACAAAAAATT